GTTTTTTACATATATCAGTGGAGGGCCCCGTAGGTAAGTGGTTAAGGCGCTAGAGCCTCTACAATTATCTGACCTGAGACATCTAGAGGTTCAAGGTTCAATTCTTATACGGGGCCCGATGGCGTTCAACGTTGGATCATCGTAGAAACGTAGTTGGATCTTCACAAGAAAATCAAGGTCAATGAAAGAAGATAAACAAATATAAAAAAAAATGAAAAAAAAAATAAAATGAAATAAATGTAATAAAATAAAAAAAAAAAATTTTTGTTTATAAATAATTGAAAAGTTTTTATTTTTTCATCGTTTCAAAAAAATTTTTTTTCAAAAATTTAATTTTAATCGACACCTCATTTTTTTTACGAGAAGTGTTTTTATAATTGAATGAATTATTCGAATCAGAATCGGATAGTTTAATTGAAAAAAATAAGTAACAATACATGTAACTGAGACTGAAATCATATTTTAAAGTGAGATTGACTCGTGTGACTATATACAAAAAAATACCGATGCCAATGTATTGGCAAGTAGCTTCCTCATACTTTTTTTTAACTTGAAAATAATTTGGAAATATTAATATAATCATTTCTAATTTGTTCACAAAACAGTTGCAATCATAAATTATTTCTGTTGTGGAATCAATTGCCAACGTTCTTCTATTCCTTGATATATAATTTTTATCAAATTATTTTCTATGACGTAACAATTAAAGTAGTTCCTGAAAAAAAAAAAAATTATTTTCATACCAGCGGCCCGAAATTGACATTTTCCCTGCAGCTGCTCAACGCGGGAAGAGCGATTTTCGAGCCACTGTGTATGAATAATAGTATACAGCGTGCCGCGAAAAAAGAAAGCCCCAGAGCACGTGTTTATCGGCCTCGGCTTCGCCTCGGACACTAATTACACGTACTCTGGGACTTTTTTGTTTTTCGCGGGCTATTGGAAATATTAATATCACCTTTTCTAATTTGTTCACTATAATTTCTAAGTTGATTCTATTTGTCTATGTATTTAAATTTTTCTGCGCGATTTACTTGTTAGTTGACGGCACAAGAAACTGGACTTTATTATTGATGAAGGATGATGATGAACTCAACTATAAATCTTTATACCTAGTGTCTTTCCGCGTGTGGCGCCTCAGAGAAGATCTTGTGAGTCCCCCTATTGTGTCTCATATGAGCGTAAAATCAAATTTACTAGATGGGAATTTCCAAACATCAAATTGAAATCAGTTTGGTTGAATCATTCGTTATCGAAAGGAACATCAAAAAGTTACTTCAGAATTGTATACATATACTCAAAAAGTTTTTATTTTTTTATTCGTGTCGAAGCGCGACGAAAGCATCAATGAAGATGTAAAAAGAATTTTTTTAGGTCAAGAATATAAGGAAAAGTATTTATTTTGAATAACAAATTTTCAAGATTCCTTTTAAAATTCGTGCTTTTTTTAAAAAAAGAAAGCCAATTAAGTTTATCAAATAATAAAAAACAAATTATTTATTGTCGATAAAGTAGAAATCTCAGACAAATCTCCGTCTTTCCCGTTCGTTTTGCCTCTAATGCCATTCAGTCGTGTAGCTGCTTGAGACGTTATTTTATTTAGAAGTTTTTTCACACGTATAAGTGAAAGTATATGTAGACGTTTTTTACATATATCAGTGGAGGGCCCCGTAGGTAAGTGGTTAAGGCGCTCGAGCCTCTACAATTATCTGACCTGAGACATCTAGAGGTTCAAGGTTCAATTCTTATCGGGGCCCGGTGGCGTTCATCGTTGGATCATCGTAGAAACGTAGTTGGATCTTCACAAGAAAATCAAGGTCAATGAAAGAAGATAAACAAATGTAAAAAAAAATGAAAAAAAAAATAAAATGAAATAAATGTAATAAAATAAAAAAAAAAAAATTTTTGTTTATAAATAATTGAAAAGTTTTTATTTTTTTATCGTTTCTCGCGTCTCTCGTAGCAAACATCCATCTGACAGCAAATTTATCTAATCTTTCATTAGTGCTAGTTTCATCAATTCGAGGTCACGTTTCGTAAAGTTTATAAAAAAACCAGCAGCCAACATTTTACAATACGCACTCTCTATTTACAGTTTTAAACGCAATGTGAAAAAATTCACATGCATGAGCCAAAAAATATGCGTATAGTAATTAGCAGTCATCTAATAATTAAAAAGTATAGCCAAAACCACGACAGTGATCAAAAGGAGTAATAATAGTTCATAACGTCCGAAGTTCAAATAATGCAAATCATTTCAGCACAATTTTTATTAAATTTTAGAAAAATGTATGTATGAGTATACTTATCACATGCTAGATCATTACATCCTTATTATGACTTCGTGGACTGTTTTTTGGTGCTTTAAGAAATTCAATTTTCGTTTGAATTCCTTCTCGAATTTATCGCATCCATAATCTTTGCAACCTTCGTGTACTGTCCTTTGGTGTATTGTTAGTATTGATTTCCGTCCAAATTTCTTCTTGCATTCGTCACATACGTAATCTTTCCGACCTTCGTGTATTATCTTTTTGTGCTTGAATAAATTCGATTTTAGTCCAAATTTCTTCCCGCATTCGTCACATACGTAATCTTTTCGACCTTCGTGTATTGTCATTTGGTGATTCAACAAATCTGATTTTCGTGTAAATTTCTTCTCACATTCGTCACATACGTAATCTTTCCGACCTTCGTGTATTGTCTTTTTGTGCTTGAGCAAATCTGATTTTTGTGCAAATTTTGTTTCACACTTGTCGCATGGGTAATCTTTGCGACCATAGTGTACTGCGTTTCGGTGTTTGATCAAATTGCCTCGCATTCCAAATAACTTTTCACACTTGTCGCATGCGTAATCTTTTCGACCTTCGTGGATTATCTTTTTGTGCTTGAATAAATCTGATTTGAATCCAAATTTTTTCCCGCATTCGTCACACACGTAATCTTTCCGACCTTCGTGTATTGTCCTTAGGTGATTCAACAAATCTGATTTTCTACCAAATTTCTTCTCGCACTTGTCACATGCGTAATCTTTGCGACCTTCATGGATCATCTTTTGATGTAAGACCAAAGTACATTTGTGTCCAAACTTCTTCTCGCATTTGTCACATGCGTAATATTTGCGACCTTCGTGTACTAGATTTTGGGGTTTTTTCAAATTGCCTGGTTTCTCAAATGTTTTCTCATATTTGTTGGATGCGAAATCTTTGCGAGCCTCGTGGACTGTCTTAATGTGCAGGAGCAAGCTCTGCTTATTTCCGAATCTCTTCGCGCACTTTTCACACAAATGATCTTTGAAAAATTCGTGGAATATTTTTTTGTGCTTGAGTAAATTTGATTTATTTTCAAATTTCTTTTCGCATTTGTTGCACGTGATATTTTCGGGATCTTTGTGTACTAATTTTTGGTGCGTAAGTAAACTCGATTTTTTCACAAATTTCTTCTCACATTGGTCGCATGAAAAATCGTTGCGGCTTTTGTGTTCTGATATTTGGTGTCTACTCAAATGATTTCGGAACTCAAATTTCATTTCGCACTCGTCACTTGCGAAATTTTTTTTATCATGATGAATTGTATCTCGGTGTGTTATCAAGCTTGATTCTAGTGCAAATGCCTCCCGGCAAATATCACAAACATATTTTTTGTCTTCCGAAACAACAACGTCGTGTTTATTTAAATTATTTTCCAAGACAACTTCTTCTGAGTTCTTCTTACTTTTATCCATTTTGTATCTTAAATTGAAGGATGAATTTTTCTATTCAGTTATGGAAATTGAACGAATAAAATTTATCTTTTGGTATTATGACTAATTTCATCGGGAAAGAAAACATTAAAACTGATTTATTTTGATCGTAAACATGATTAGTGTGTCAAGGGGCTGTGTCAAAATCGTTTATGATTATATTGTTTACAAATAATTTGTCAATTTATCTGATTATACTTTGTTCTTATAACATTTGAAACAATTTAAAACTCTAACTTGATGGCGATTTCTTCGAGAAATTTTTGGTCCTTCTAAAACTAAGTACTATCAAATTAACTCTCAAGAGGCATAATCGATTTCACGAAAAAAAAAAACACCGAACAAATAGATCCTTATACAAATTCATAATGAAAAATTTTGATGTCTATACCAAAATTTCCTGACCCAAGTCATGGCGTGATTAGCGTGTTTCATAATCTGACCCTGCACATCACGTCGTCGCTCCAGCGCAAAAACCGCACTCATAAACTCTAGATGCAAAAGGATTACAAATATTTTTTCCCCTCAAAAACTATCTTGCATTAAGTATCCGAGTAGTTGAGGGGAAAGGTAAAGAGGAATTTTTGCGCCTAATGTTGCTTTTAATAATTTAAAAATATATCATCTCTAGTTACTCCCTGAAAAATTATTTTGCACAATGGAGAGGATTACTTCAAACTTCAGAATAGCCTGAAGCAAAACAATTTGTCCGTAGAAAAGACGAATTTAACTGTACATCGCCTGAAGCTTTTTATATATTGTTAAATGTGCATCAATTGAGCTGCAAGCAAAAGCTAAACGTTTCGGCCCAGCTGCAAAAACTAAAAGATTAATTCCTGCTAGGAGCTAGGAGATCCTGCTATGAAGTAAAAATATATAGCCTCAGAGCATACGTTGAACTTCCTAGACACGTGTAATGTATTATTCATTATTTTCTTTCGTCAAAGCTAAAACGAAAGAAAAATTTTAGTTGACTATTTTTTTCATTATTCTCGTTCTCAGATTTTACTCGGAATTATAATATAGTCGTAGAATTTATAGTCGTAACGATAAATTTTCATGTCTTTCTTAATTTCTATTTTTATTTAGATTCAAATTGAAAACCATTTAGTTACCCAAAGTTTGGTTTACGTGTAATTTGAATGTTTTGCAACAATTCTACGTTATGGAATAGTAGCAATTGCCTTAATTCTTCACAATATGTATCGACAAATCAATTAGTGTCTTTACAGTCATTCATCAAAAAACTATTTACTTCATAGTTTCAAACTTGAACCGACATCAAGGCTGCTATATATGACATGGTTGTTTTTACAACCTGTTGGAAATTTCACAAGTGTGAATACGAATCATTTTTATATATTTATAGGTACTTACGTATGTAACCGTACTAAAATTGACCTGGACGCCCAGACAAGCCGTCAGGCAACAAGGTCGTAAGGCTCGAATCATCATGACTAATAGTAAAGATCTAATTTTGGGTTTGAACTCGTACCAATGGTTGCTATAACTATTTGTATTAAGGATTAAATTTAAAGCGAAATTTCATGAATTATTTTGATTCATACCATGCAATAAGAATATTCTCGCTTGCATTTTTCATCTGTTGGCTGGGATAGCATAAGCACATGAGTAAAATTTTACACCCTAGATAAGCCACAAACATTTTGAGGGCATTTAAAAACATTTTTCTCTTCAACTGAATAACCATCTGCGACACAATTTTTTTCTAATTAGTGCTGTAGCACACAGACATGATATTTTTACTTTGAAATATTATAGCGCTGAAATTTCTCTAAAGGTTGTGCTTAAAATTCTACGTATAACTGAGATATACAAAAAAATAAATCACATTTATCTATTTAAAAATTTTCACACAAAATGATATTAACTGTAAATCCTGAAAGGCTCATAGAAATTATGATGCCCGTTACAGTTACAAGAATGAAAGGCCCTGAAAAATTATTGAAGACCTGAATGAAGATACAACAGAAAAATTATTTAAAATGTTTTTTGAGTTAGTGAGGTTTTTGTTTCATTTCAATTAATGTAAAAATTTTATCGTCAAATATTTCGTGAATTACAGTTAAAACTATTAATTACTTAACTGTATGCAGTTTTTATGATCGCTAATTCTATTGATTACTTTTCTCACAAGCCGCAAATCGAACGAGCAACAATTGGAATATCTTTCTGAAGTTAGTTGTTGATTTTGTAAGGTTTCAATTTGAATACTGTCAAAAATATTTTAAATTGTCAATTTTATGTAATCTTTCTCAAATAAAAACATTTATGTGAAATTTTTTTTGCTGTACCCAATAAGCTTAAATCTTTGAATAATGTAATAACTAAACGTAACAAATGGCGCTAATAATGATGCGGTTATCAAACCTACTTGTACCACACACATTGTTGCGTAACTCAAATGAAAGAAAAAAAATTCGTCTTGGTCGATAAAAAATTCGAACTTGAAAAAAGCTTTTTTTTTTGTTATATCGAAAAATCAGGGATAATATTACACCATTTCCAAAATAAACACCAAATACCACACCTACAATAAAAATCAATTAATTAATATAGTATAGAATGAAATTCTGATTTCAGAATCATAAAAAAAAATTTTTTAAAAATTCCATGAATTATAATTTTTATTTTTTTTTGCTGGTGGAGAAGTAAATTAATTAGTCATTAGAGTATTTGTTAAATTAGCACAATTACGTTTTGACACTCACAAGATTTTTTATAAATCTTTTAATTTTACTTACATCCAAGAGCTATACCAATTTTACATCCTTTGTGTATGATTTCAAGCTTAATCATTTTATTGTTTGCATCTTTCAAATGATCATATTCGGCGAAAAGATTCATCATAAGAATCCGAATCTTTCAAAAAAAGAAAATTATGTACTTTGTCAAAATTTAATTTTTATAATTACTTACTTTCTTTTCTTGCACTATACATATCAAATATGCTATAAAAGTGCCTGACATAGCTATTAGTTGAAATAAAGTCTCAGTGAAATCTGCGAAACCTAAAATGTTTCTTCTTGTGATCAAAAAAGTTACCTGAAAAAATAAACTTGATTGGTATTCTTAAAAATTCTATATTTGAAAAGAAGCTAGATAATAACAGAAGCTTGGAACAATACGAATGCGTTGAATACGAAAAGTATTCTTCCCCTATGTTTTGATTTTTTGTTCTGATAAGGCCATATAAAAGTCATTTTCATAATTTTTACGATAAGATAACAATTTTTTTGGTAAAACTCAATCATTTCCTTTTTTTTATTGCTTGAATAGATTCTAGCCATTTCTATAGAATTTCTTTTGTTTTAAACCGCAATAAAACCGTGTACAAACACAATAAAATGTAACGATATAGATATTGAATTATTTGACCATTATTATCAATTACTTTTCAGTAAATAAACTTCACACCTTTGCGTATTGAAAAAAATGTTTACGACTTAGTTGTTTGATATGCTTAACATTAATTATACAAAGTAATGCAGTAAATTGCTTTTAATTCAAAAGAAAGTGAATTTTATTCATTTGTATAAAAATGACCTTTTATTTGAAAAAGAAGGTTGTCAGGTATACTTTATCGATTCTCTTTTCATTGAAATTTGTTACAATAACTCGTGCATTCACTGAATTTTTCCCATTCTCAATTTCACACTTCAGAAGAAAAATGTTATATTCCCTATTTTAATATTTAAAAAATAATTAGTGTTTTATTTTTAATTTTTTGAGTTGCCAATACCCTTTATTTTATTATTATTGCATAAACTATCGATTTTTCGTTCGGTTGAAATGGTTTTTAGAAAAATTAGCGAATTTGCGTAATCATAAAAAAAAGGCAGCTTAACAATAATAAACAATAACAAATTTTCGATTTATTGGGAGCATAATAATTTTAAGTATTTTGTACGTAGCATTGTAGATATAGATAAAAATTGCTATCTCTATCGCAACGAGTTTCCATTTTGTGTGCCATTAAATCTCGTTTTATTCAAAAATCATACTTGAATCCGTAGAAATGTATAAACTACTATAAGCCAATAACAGAAACCTGAGCCTATTCCGCCTTATGATTCAAAATCAAAATTTAGTATACTTTCTCTTCAATCATGCTCGCTTGATACAAATTCGGCGTCGGAACCGCTTTTTCCCCTTCTCTCAAAGGGGATGGACGGCTTGTGCAATTCCAATTGGTTATTATAGAGTGTCACTATGATTAAAATAATAAACGGCTGAATATGACTAATAACTCCGCCCGAGGCCACTCTCTTTTCGACACCGATTCCACCTATACATATTGAGATTGGTCGGAATCAAAATCTCGTATACCTTCTCTTCGATCATGTTTTCCTAATCCACGTGAAACAGAAAAAATCACATCTTCGGAACTGTCTTCCCTTTTCTCTTGAAAATGGGATGTTCCATTTAAAGTGAGCAGTTTACAAACGTTGTTATTGGGTATTTGAGTTGCGTTACGGGACTCTCTTATGAAAAAATTGGCGGCTCAATATGGCAGAACCCCCACCTACCACAACTCTCTTTTCGACGCTTACTCGTATTATCTTTTTAAAAAGTCCGAACAGTTTTTAAGCGTTCTGATTGGTAGTTGAGCGAAGCTGTGGAATGTATCGGTTTTTTCGTCATTGGTCATACTCAGCGCGTTTCGATCATGTTTCCGCGACGGAGGCGTCAACGATTCACGAAACAAAACATGTATAGAGTATAGAGTCACGCAAGGCGCGTAGTGCCTTAAAGTGGCTAGCTATAGTACAGTATTATAAGTAAACTCTTTCATTTTTAATGTAAACGACTTCTGGAAAACGCATATATAGTACCAAAAAATACTCATTCACTATTCTTATCGTCATAAGAAAAAAATAATCTAATCGTATATTTTATAGCTTTATCGAATATGCGATAATGATATGTTTAACTTACACTCTTGACCAGTAAAGTTCTAAAACAAAAGCATTATCGGAGAGTTTAGTCCGCATCGGCTATTCTCCATGTGAGATATTTTCACATTCAACCGTCGAATTTGATGACTTTGAAAATATAAAAAAATGCACTATAGAAATAATTGGGTAGATTATGAGCCGTATTCATATTTGCATATAAATAAAAGAATTTACTGTTCAGAAATTATCATTATAATTAAAGTCATTTTTTAATTAATAAATGGCCCCTCAACAGACCTTTGAATAACGTAAGCTATTGTTATAAAACTTAAGTGATAATCAGACGTCAACATTACAGCCCATTCAATAATTAATAATTCGAATATTATTATTATTGTTCATTGTAACTTTCATAAAAATTAAATTAAATAGCTCAATGCCGTCACAGAAACCAATATTAAATAGCAACATTTTTTACAATTGTAACTTTAAAATTATTACGGATAATAGGACATTTTTCACCGAATTCTAAATTCATCAGCAACTGAACATTCAATAAATTATTGTTTAATTGTTTAATAATTTTCACACTATTTCAAATTACTCAAGGTAGAGCCGAAGAGAGAATCTCAAACCTTTAATATTCATGCTAAACTACCATTTATCACACTACGCTCTTATTATATTGATTACCTCAAAAATAGCTCGAAACATTTTCGATCCATAATTTATTTTTTCATGTTTTATGAATGAGATCCGATTTTTCTTTATAATTGTTAGGAAAATAAGAAATAAGTTTGTTGAATTCAAAGTTTCATGGTTCTTATTTATTATTTATGGCATGAACAATTATTCGTAGTAAAATATTTCGCTTTTGCACAGTTTCTATGTAAACAACGGTTATGCAAGCTATACTTTTCTCATAAAAAAGCAAATAACATAATTGTTTATTTTTAATATTATTATTATTATTATTATTTTTTTAATGGCAATCGTTAACTGAAAAGTAGTGATTTGCTGAAAATTCTAACGAATATTCTTCCAAACGGCTATATAGTTCCTTTAAGCACTATTGTAATATTAAAATTAGGATCGTCAAAATTTCGTATCAAAGATGTTTTTAAAGAAAATTAAATTACATGGATTTCGGAAGTAATTATCTTTATACTGGCTGTAGTTAAGCTTGAGTCATTGGTGTTAAATACGACGAAAAAAAAAATTGGAATGCTATACTAAAGGTATTCAGAAAGATTAAAAAATTGTTTTTGTGGTAAAGTTTTGCGTGGTACTCATTTAGTTAATATAAACTCTAGTTTCAATTCATATAATATTATTATATTCGTTTATGAAATTTAAATGAATGTGAATTTTATATAATGTTTCGATTCATGCATTCTTCTTTTTAGTATTTCTACAAATGTCTCGTATTAAAAAAATATTATTTCAAGTGTGATTTGCATATCCACCTAACGCCATGTTAAAATTTGCAGAATTGATCATAAAACGTAATTATGAAACGCATAATTTAGCTAGCAATGAAAACATGAAATAAATAATTATAATTATATGTTCCAACGAGCCTACTATACTCATCTCACAAGAAATATGGATAAAAGGCTAGAAAATCTCAAACCTGGAAGGCTCTTTTCAATGGAAAGTAATATTTATTACAATTTTCACCTGCTCCGCCTCATGTGCATTGACCCTTATATGAAAGAATCATTGAGACTGCCAGTCAATATCATTATATTGACAACTTATTTATTAACTATACTGATGACAGTGAGTTCAAGTTTGATAATAAGGTTGAAATTCGTACTTTTTTTTAATAATCGATTTTAATTAACATTTAAACTTTATTATTTTAAATATTTTAGATCGTCGTTCTCGTAAAAGCCATAATCAAAAATGAAACTAATATCAACTTAATAATGGAAATGAGTTTTACCTGTATATTTACCGTAGATATGATGTCATATTATATCATTTTATTGAAATACAACAAAGAAGAAAGTATTTCATCATCAATTAACGCTATTAAAAATTATATTTTATTTAAAAGTATCTTCTTCACAGGCGTATTCTATATATTCAACTATTTTAGAAAATTGGTATAGAATAAGAAAAAATAATTGGAAAACACTTATATTGCGTCAAACGAAAATAGCAGCTATCATAAGCATTTACTACGCAGGCAAGTCTCCCTTTAAAAAGAAAATTTGCAAAATACTTTACTAATTTATTCATTCGTTGCACGAGTGTTGAGATGATTAAAGAAATATTTTAATTTTCTGTAGCTGGTAACGTGATGTCAGTGATGAGCTATACAATTGGTCCGGTTGTTATTCCATCTATTTTAGATACTCTCAAATTTAATCACACTTTAGAAAAACAGTTACCTTTAAATTTTGATAAAACTTTTTGTATCGAAGAATATTTTTATTTGTTGTTGGCAATCGTGATTGTCATCAATGCTTTGATGATCGTTGAGTCGGTTCTATTACTCTCAGCAAATATTATGATAATTAAGTACCTCGAGGGATTATTCGACTTCATGAGGTGAATATCATTAAAATTATTAATTTATTAAATAGACTTAAACAAGCAGTACTTGAATTTCTTATAGTTATTCTGTGAATCATATGTACGATAATTTAAATCCTATAATGATTAAAATGTCGATCAAAACATCAAATAAGGAAATCCGTCGAAATATCATTAATCTTATAAAATGTTATCAACAAAGTATACAGTTGAGTTAAAAAAAATTAACTATATTTAAATTATATTTAATGGAAATTTTTTACGTATCGAATTTTCAGAATATTTAATTTGTTTTCGACATTCACTCGATATAACTATTTCATCGTTGTTCCTCAAATCGCACTGAACATAATATTTCTCGGGTCCAAGGTAATTATTGTGATTAAAAGCAAAATTATGAAAAAACAACATTAAAATTCAAATTATCGCATTGCATTAATTATTTTCAAGGCTCTTCTGGAAATTTCACACGATTTGCAGTTGTTTGGAAGGCTGATCATAATTTGTTTGGCATCTTTTTTAGTATTACCAGTACTTATCTATCCATGCCAACAACTAATAAATGCGAATGAAAGATTCCGAAATGAATGGTAATCATTGCTCAAATTTTTTTCAAGAAATTAGATGAAATTAATGTTATATAATTTCAGTTATGCTTGCAAATGGTATAAATTTTCTCCGGAAGCTAGAAGGTTATTATTAGGATTAACGTTTAGAGCCTCGCACTATTTTGTTCTAAAAGCTGGACCAATAATATCAATGACAATGGAAACATGTAGTACCGTAAGAGCAATTTTATCCTTCAATATCTTCGAAAAAATAGTACAACTCAATCAAATGCGTATAATTTCAGATCTTAAAAACTTCATTGACGTACTTGGTTACTGTTAATAAAATATACAGCAGTTTCGGTGAAAAATGACATTATTATATAATATAAAATGTGTATGCGCATCGATTACAGTTTATTATTCATTGGAGTGCATTATTATGACTCTATTTTGAGAAATTTATATTTAAATTGCTAAATCATTGTAAAACATTCCATAGCTCATTATCAATTTTAATATAATAATAACTGTCGGAACTATTTTCGAAGATGATTGCATCAATCTTAATGGACATATGACAAAAAAAATTTACTGCATTGGAATTTTAATATTTATTTATTGATTATAGAAACACTAGTTTAAAAGTTATTGTCCATTCGTTCTTATAAATATTATTCATTATGCAATAGTTGCTTATGCACCACATGCATTATGAATTAAAAAAAAATTATAGGTATTTGTTAGGTTGTACTGGAGAGTATAGCACTTTCCGGCTAAGACGTGAATTTTCGTGATTATAAATAATAATATAATAAAATGAATTCATTTTGATGCTCTTAAGGTCGCCATAAAGCCTTTTGGCAAAATATTTAGTAGAAGTTTCAGAAAACTGAATTGAAATTTTGATTTTTTGGTTGACTTCTATATCTCCTTGATTCAAATAAGTTTGATACAAAAATATGATAATTATTTTCACCATTTTTCCACTCTATATGAAAGAAAATTCATGGGGTTCAAAACGTAGAGGAAATTATAATATGTTTTATTATTTTATTTTATCTTGATATAAAATAATAAGCTGCTGCATATTCTCACGTAGAAGATACGAAATAAATATGAGTCTACATAAAATCTCTATTCTCGAGTAAAAGAAAGTCGAATCGAGAAGAATCGAGCATCAAAAAGAGAAAGTATCTCGAGTACATTTCGAAAAATCGAGTTGCATCGACGCATCTCGTTAGTGCGCACGTGTAGATGCATGCCCGACAAGTGGCCGTCTATGCGCCGCTGCCTATACAGTCGACAGTTTATTTTCAGTCGTCACCATATACAGGTTACCCAATAAGTTTTTCACGTGCTTCAAAGTTCGAAGAAGAAATAACTTATTTCAGTGTAAAATGGAGTACTTGATGGAACCCGTGGGCCCTACGTCCATGAGTAAAAAAGAATACACGTTTTCATGGACCCTAGAAAATGTTTCGTACGAAGAAGTGAAATCGGGTCTCAAGGAATCGCCGATATTCACCGGCGAGGGTGACGAAAAATTTCAGTTCAGATTGATCTATCACAGGTGTCTGGAGGAAAGACCGTCGTCGAGTCTCAGAAGCGAGTCGGTGAGAAAATTAATTCTGTGCTGCTCGAATATAGAGAGCGAAGTCACTTGCACCTTCGACGTGACCATTCACCTGGACGGACGAAAAATCGTCTCCAAGAGTTGCGGTGGTTTTCAAGGAAACAACAACCTGGTCGTTCACAAAGTGTACGCCCATTCGCGCAAAGACTTCGTGTGGCCAAAAAAAACCACGGCTATTCAGTGCAAAATAACACTGAGCAGAAGTACGCCGAGGTCGTCGGAGGATAGCTCGTCGGAAGACATGGCCGTGGAGAAGCCGGCGGCACCCGGCCTAAAATTCGACGACCTATTCCTCGAGGAGACTCTAAGCGACGTCAAGCTGCTGACCAAGTCCGGCAGGGAGATTCCCGCGCACAAGATCTTGCTCGCCGTCGCCAGTCCGGTGTTCATGGCCACGTTCAGCCGCGAGAGTTCGATGTCGGAGTCAAGCCAAGTGATCGACTTGAGCGACGTCGGCGAGGAGGTCGCCGTCGAAATGCTGCGATTCGTGTACACGGGCGAGGTCGATGATTCCGTGGCTAGGGACATTTCCAAGACCGCCGAACTTTTCGAGGCCGGCCACCGGTACGCGATCGAGGGCTTGAAAAACAAGTGCGAGCGAATGTTGAGCTCGAATTTGTCATCGGACAATGTTTTGGAGACTCTGAGACTGGCCGATGCGTACAAGGCGAACGATTTGAAGATGAGAGCGATTGATTTTGTTAAGCACAGCATTAACAATTCGGAGGATTTGGATGAAATAACTAATATGCTTCTCAGCAAAACCAGATTGGTTGACAATTAATTCGTTGAATTTATATTTTATTTTGTGTGTATAGTGTACTTATGTATTTTTTTGTTATTGACTAAAACATAATAATTTTATTTTTGATCAAAATAAAAATTTGATGTTATAGAATATTACTTCACACGTTTTTTTCTTTATTTAATATGGCCCTTATCTAAAATCTATTAATAAATGATAAGAATTAAGGATGCTGGGTATCATTGGTATTTAAAAACACGTAAAATACTCTCAATGATGACAAAATGTAATTTATTGATAAGAAAATATTTAACAGAATAATTGGAATAATTTGAACGATTACTATGGTTTCATTGTGTTTTGATATAGGTAAAAGCACCCATTCATCTCGTTAAATGTTAGTATAGAATTTTATTTTGGTAAAAAAACATATTTTGATGAGAAACTTTCGACTTTCGGACATCATTCACAGACTTCATTGACTTTCACACTTGTCAGATTCTAATTGTTGGTCAATTGAAAAATCATAATAAACAATGTGCGCTAGTTAACGTCGGCGAGACGAGCATTACAGGCTCTCTTGTTGTTAATTTGGATGAAAAATTTAGTTACCGTTTGACAAGATAAATAAGCAGAGGCTTCTGCTACGGTAACAGAGAATAGTTCTGAGCATCGTCGTACTCCTTTTACTTTATTATATCGATTGTGTAACAAAAAAACAATGGAATCAAAAAGCCATAAACTACCAGTTCGTTATATACCTCAAACTAAGGGTGTCATGTAAGAGCTCAACATTTTATTAAATTTGAATCAGCCTTCATTTCGGTTTATATATTTTTCAGGCCACTTCGCAAACGTGTTGATGAGCTGTCGGTGGGAAATAATTCGTTGAATTCGAACCGAGAAAGAGAAATTAGTCGTGTTAACGTTAAAGTCAACGCGTTGGAAAAAGAGTCAACGAGTTCGAACCAAAACTATGAGACAGGAATCGGCGGTGTTAATTTTCAATTTTTCAGTGCGTCGGAGACCGAGTTAGAAGACGATGTCAAAGACGAGATCGAAAATATACTCGACGAGCTATCGTTGGAAAAAGAGTCGACGAGTTCGAACCAAGACTATGAGACAGGAATCGGCGGTGTTAATTTTCAATTTTTCAGTGCGTCGGAGACCGAGTTAGAAGACGATGTCAAAGACGAGATCGAAAGTATACTCGATGAGCTATCGTTGGAAAAAGACTCGACGAGTTCGAGCTATGACTACGAGAAAGGAGTCAGCGGTGTTAACTTTCAATTTTACAGTGCGCCGCAGCCCGGGATAGAAGCCAATGTCGACGACGAGAACAAAAGTATAATCGATGAGACATCGCCGAACAAAGAGTCGTCGTATTCGAACCGCGACTATGAGAACGAAATTTCGTACCGTGTTGATTTTAAAATTAGTTCGTTGGAGCCCGAGGTAGAAGCCGAAGTTAACGACGAGACATCGCTGAAAAAAGAGTCGTCGTACTTTAGCCAATACTACGAGAAAGGAATTGTCCAAGCCGACGTTGAAGTTATCGTGTTATCGTCGGATGACGAAGCAGAAGCCGACGTCAACGACGAGAACAAAAATATGATGGCGGAGAATAAACAAAGTAGTTCTGTAGTCCCATTCGTAGGGCAAGTTAAAAAGAATAGGAAAAGAAGGATTTCTCGGGAGAGGCTGCCCCAGCTCGTGGCAGTAGCTCGAAGATCTTGCGACAGTCAGGGATTACTGTTTGATTGAGGGCAAGTCCAATACCAATTATAGCATCGATTGAAATCGTCAAAAATTAAAATTTCATTAAATTAAAAGTATGATTTATTTTTTAACTCGTGAACTATGTAAAGAAATTAACTGATCTTGTGAACGGTTTCATATATCGATTGCCACCAAGTTGAATTTTTATAATGTAACTTGAATTTTCGAAAGAAAAGACTTGCAGATAGAAACAAATTTTTTTTTCTTCATTTATTTGTATCTTATGATCATCGACTTTTTCGACGCCGAATTCGAACAGTCCGAGAAATTTTGAACGGTTCAAATGCCGATGGTGAAATAGGACATCGCCATCTATACACAATTCACGAGAAACAGCCCGCAACACCGGTTTCAATGATTACCGGCAGTAAATACACTACCGACGTGGCCGACTACTTACCGGCGTGAATCAAAAATTTTTCGAACGATTTTTCAAATAATTGAACGTGTGTTGCTGCATTTTTTCTCTGGATGAATATTTTTTGATAAGAGAAATTAAAAGTAGAAAATAAAACTGCACTTTGATACTTCGCTTGTATCAAAAAATATCGATCAGTTTGTAAAAAACATTAAATATTCATGAATTAGAGATGTAATATTTAATAATGCAATTATAAACTTTTTATTTGTTAGTAACGAACGGAAGGCATTAGAAAAAATCTTACTACACTGAGATGTTTAAACTCTTGTAATTAGTTTTGTTTTTTTTTCAATTACCCACGTCTATCTCGATAGATAAAAAAATGTCAGTATTCTCTCGTTACTGCATCTCATGCAATGGTATTTTTCACACCATCAAGTTAATCATATCCCGAAACGGCATCTTAATTGAAAATTTCGAAGTTTATTTTCTAAAACTCGTTTTCAAATGTTCTATAGAAAATCAGCTCGTATAGTCCACATCGAACGAATCGGATAGAATTTTAAATTTTCCCGACACCGATGAAAAAAAGTGCAGCTCTACTGAATATCTCTGCACGATCTCGTATAAACGCGCTACAACAGCCGCGTGCCGCGTAACATGCATTAATCTCGTGACGTATCGCGCCGAGGAAAAACCGAAGGAAAATATAGTCAATTGTGCGCGATGTATATCGATCAGAGAATCATTGAGAATTTCGCTAGCGAAACGTCCCCGATTACGATTATACATAACGTACATTTTATCGATGTTAAAAAAGAGAGATTATTTACAAACACGCTCCCACGATTTTCGTGCATCAACGAGACTCGACTCGTTCTCGTGGAAAAACATGTACACGATGGTCGGATTAAAATTAAACGAGTCTCTGACTAATATTGTCGAGTGAGTGAGAGAGCGATGACACTATGTGCACAGCACACTGCCGTATAGCTGCGCTTTACGTCAATTCGCGCAATCAGATGACAAATAGACTCTCTATTATACGCGTGCAGTCCTTCGTATATAAAACTTTTTCGAGTATTAACTACGATAAAAAATTTAATTCAAATTTACACATTGAAAAACTCAATCGTGTACGATGCATGTGCAGCAACGAAAAGTTCAACGGCACCGCTTGCCTCGCGTATAAAGCCGCGATATATGCATTAAAAAAATGATTGCACTTACGGCACCGAGCACACCGAACTCCGCGTCCGTTCGGACGTGTGTCAAGTATAACACGTGTTTCGACATCATCTCTTCGCTGTATGAAAATTCGAAACTTTCTTTCCCCCTCGTGCATCGCGTGAAATGGTATAATTGTTCGGATACGGTTATTTTCACCCAAAAACAAACTGTAAAATGAGGCAAAAGAAAACAAACAAATGCACGATTTGATTTATCGATTGACAAAAAATCGTTGAATCATCGATATTGTCAAATTCTCGAGACGATACCGTGCCCAGCACGAGCACAATTATAATAATTAGACCGTCTATCATCGTCCCTGTGCAATAATTACGTCTGGAGCAGTAGGAGGCAAAATTTTAGGCCCTCTAAATATACACGAAACGTACAAATTTTTAACCGCTGTCGGCGAGTAAAAATAATCCATATAATATCGTCTGCGCCTTGTGCTCTCTCTCTCTCTCTCTCGATGTATGTTAAAGTCGAAGAACTCGGAGCACGTGCTCGTATCTGAAATAACCTTCATTCCGATAATCGAGATGCGCCGAGAGATCTTTGACAAGTTTGTCAATTTTAATTCGTTGTCTACTCGATTGGAATGGACGTAGTAATTAAAATAACGACGAATGCCGTCGAAAATTTTCAATCTTTTTTTATGCAAAAGCACGACGAAAATATGGATGCATCGTCGAGACGTAAAAAAACATCGATTATTACGGTTTAACATGCCAATTGTCACGTTATTACATTGCAACGTTCTTGCAATAATCGATCGTTCGCATTATTATAATATGCATAGAGCTTCGCCTCGGCCTTTTGGTCGAGTCGCGCGAATTTGTTGGTTATGAAAAGTGTAATTGTTGCGCCATGTGCATCGTCGACTAGCAAGGAATTCGACTAGCTTACATTTTATGACTTTCGATATATATAGCCGCGATCGGAATTTAACAATTATACGAATGCAGCGCGACACGATGCTCTACATTTTTTTTCGTTCTCGAAACGGCATAATAAACAATTCGTCGATTGTTGTTCTCGATCGAAAATTCACGTTTTTTATCGAAACCCTATCGATAATATGCACATGTCTGTGTGTGTCAATACATTACAACGAGACACGAGGCATATACTTGTAACGGTAATGTCAATGATTTCGTTACAAAATTCGACATCCGAAGTCAAAGTCCGAGTCTCGCTCGATATCAGCGATATATATAAATTTTTGCGCTACATGCCCCGAGAGCTCCATTTGTCGACGCAAAGAGAGAGAGACAGAGATAGAGAGGCAGACAGACAGAGGCAGTGTAAAACGTGTTCGCATAAACATATTCTCGCGGGCATGTCGGCGAAAAAAAAAATAACGCGTTACATACACTCTTTACACCGGGCCATTTATGTAAGCCCACAGCTGGTGTACATAAATTGTCGGGGCATTTATGTTATACGAATGTGCATATATTTTTATGTACGCGGTGCGTTTTGCGCAACGCGAGACACGTGCGAAACGCACACGCACTGCTCGACACGACGATTTCGGGGATAAATATTTATGAATTTTTCGTTGGCATGGAGAGAGAGAGACGCTCGAATGTGCCGAGTTGATAATTATTGTACTTCGTGCGTGGGTTGTTGTTACACGGAGGAGTACTCATGCAAAAATTTATTAATCTTCCCCTGGACGCACGTGTCTTCCATTATTCGTCCATTGTTTTATTCGGGGAATTTATATGTGCATTGTAATATGTGTGCTATACATATACGCGTGTATTTTTATTGACCGAAGAGTTACCGTTGTGTTCACTGATCTCGGCCGTTCGCTGACTGGTCTCGAATGCCGACTTGGTTCGAACGTCGACCCGTTTGAACAAAATTAACGGGCTTAAATAAATTTTTTACAGCAATTTTTTTCATCGCGCCAGTTTCTTCGCTCAATCTCGCAACTTTTCGTCTAGAAGGATATCATCGAAAAAATAATTTCCACAGTAAATAATCGCCGACAAAATTGCGATCGAATTCGAACCGAAGCGAAGCCGCCGCTGAGCTGCTGAGCGTCGCTGGCGTCGGGCGCGGGCTGCGCGCGTCGCTCCTCCGGCCTGGCTAACGGAGCGCCCGGCCTAGGTCGCCTACCGGCCGAACGAAATCCACCACAGACTCGTCTGGGATTCTTCTGTGCCCGCATCTCGAGGTGAGTGGACGTGCCTCTCCATTAGCGGAGGCCCAACCTGCACTATAGTAGTTCTCAATATAGATTACATTTTTTTTTACAATTATTAAAAAGAAAATTCTCAAAGTGTTTTTGTGTGCGCGCTCGCTGCTCGGTGTTTCTCGTATATAGTAGAGTTTTTTTTTCGATAGAAATCTTGTCCATCTTTTGCCGTTACGAAATTTATAACCAAAAACCAGTGTGCTTCGCCAGTGCCGCATACAATCTGCTTTGCGAGTCTGCCCAGGCCGCCGCCGCCAGCTTTGATTATCCAGCATTATCGTAAGATTTTGAGTGCAATCGTCGGGACTAATTGTGACGGTATCGTTGATAAAAATCCTCCAAAAACGCGAGTGTTAATATTTTTTTCTCGTCAAACTTGCGGTTCGTGGCTCGAGAAATTTGAGTAATTTTTCCGTTCGTGTGAAAGTATTATAGAGAAGAAGAGGCCACGAGTGCATGTGGGCCGCGCGCGCGCGCGCTCTCGGCGCCGCCGACTGTTGCGCTTTTAGGCCGCTTCGTCTTGCCCTTTTTTTTTTCTAACGAATCTTTGCTCGCGTTGCAGCATCTCTATTATGCAATTGTTTTTCTAATTTTTTTTGTTTTATCGAGAGTCCGATTGTCGTGTGTAACCTCGTGCCTGACGTTGGAAACAAAAGATCATCGCCTCGACGTGTTGCTCGGTTGAAATAAAAAAAACAGTGAATTGTTTTAATCTCGGCGGTATTGCGTAAATAAATTCAATAATTCTTGATCTTTAACACGCGTTGAATAGTGTGTCGAGAGTTCGTGAATCGGCCGGCCGCCCCCCTAAAAGAACATGTCGTCGGTGAGCGAGAGAGAGAGAGAGAGAAGAAAAGAGACTTCTCAAATCATGACGAGTACGACCGGAAACACGCTATAATGGCGCTCTACGTGCTTCTTCATGCTTGTCATTGCTTATTCATCGTAACTTTTTACTGGCTTAAATAATTTCCTCGACGATCTAATTTTTTCTTATCTTTTCGATACGCGTCCTTGCATAAATTCGACAATTATTTCCAATTTCCAATCGATACGTGAATTTCCACTCTCTTATCAAGCGGCGAAGCCGGCTAGCTGAGCAAAAATTTCAAGTCAGCAGCTGTTAGCCCGCAACGAGAAAGAAAATCTCTCGACAATGTTTTAAACGTGGCAACGACGCCTTTCTCTCTCTTTCTCGCTCGCTCTTTCTCTTTTCTCCCTATAGGGCTAAACTCGAACGGCATATCTTCCTTTTTTTTTTGCCTGTAAAACGGCTGCACCTCCGCCTTTAGCTCGTTCTCTTTCTGTCTCTCTCTTGCTCGCTAGCGCTCGTTCTCTTTCTCTCTCCCTCCTCTCCCTATTCGGTCTCTCTCTTGTCGTTTGCTCATTCAATGTGCGCATAGTACAAAATGGCCGACTCGCGAGATTATATATTCGAGAACTTTCAAGTCGCGCCACGTGTATTCGTTTCGAGCAACTTGGCCTCTCGTGCTGCACGCCGGCCCGAGCCGTTTAGGTTATTCGTTCGCCGACTCTCGACCGACACACACCTACCCACTCAGAGAATTGTACTTGAAATTTTACTTGATGCTTGGATAGCTCTGGCAGTTATTCTAATATATTTATAAATATATTAAGGTGAAGCATTAAACTAATCTGATTTTTTTTCTCTTTTGCAGCATTTTTGTTGACATACTAATTACAAACATCCAACATGGGAAAGGAAAAGATCCATATTAACATCGTCGTCATTGGACACGTAGATTCAGGAAAGTCGACCACCACTGGTCACTTGATCTACAAATGCGGTGGTATCGACAAGCGTACCATTGAGAAGTTCGAGAAGGAAGCCCAGGAGGTAAATTATTCAAAACTCATTATTTACATAATTTTTATAATCAATTCATTGAAATGTCACTTTGCACGTTACGTAGAGTCCTTTCGATACTTATTAAATGATGAACAGCCTTTTTTCATTCGCGGTTTCCAACCAGAGAGCTTAGCTCGTTGACGGCTGAATGCGTCTGACTTAATTCAGAAAATAAACAATTTTATTCATAACAGTGAACAACATCTAATCATACTCTTGTTTTCTATTGTATAGATGGGCAAAGGTTCCTTCAAGTATGCGTGGGTTCTCGACAAACTGAAGGCTGAGCGTGAACGTGGTATCACCATTGATATCGCTCTCTGGAAGTTCGAAACCTCCAAATACTATGTCACCATCATCGACGCCCCTGGCCACAGAGATTTCATCAAGAACATGATCACTGGTACATCGCAGGCCGATTGTGCCGTACTCATTGTTGCCGCCGGTACTGGTGAATTCGAAGCCGGTATCTCCAAGAACGGTCAGACCCGTGAGCACGCCCTGCTCGCTTTCACCCTTGGTGTCAAGCAACTGATTGTTGGTGTCAACAAGATGGACTCCACTGAGCCACCATACTCTGAGGCTCGTTTCGAGGAAATCAAGAAGGAAGTCTCTTCCTACATCAAGAAGATCGGTTACAACCCAGCCGCCGTTGCCTTCGTCCCAATCTCTGGATGGCACGGAGACAACATGTTGGAGGTCTCCACCAAAATGCCATGGTTCAAGGGATGGAACGTTGAGCGCAAAGAAGGCAAAGCTGACGGCAAATGCCTCATCGAAGCCCTCGATGCCATCCTCCCACCATCCAGGCCAACCGACAAAGCCCTCCGTCTCCCACTCCAGGTAAATATTCAATATTCAATCAATCGCAACACTCACAATCAATTCGTAAAGTAATAACATGATGAGCAGCCTTTTTTCATTCGCGGTTTCCAACCAGAGAGCTCAGCTCGTTGACGGCTGAATGCGTCTGACTTGTTTTTAAAAAGATTAAAACATTCAAAATATTGTTGAACATACATCTAAATTCAAATTTCATTATTTCAGGATGTCTACAAAATTGGCGGTATTGGAACGGTACCAGTCGGTCGTGTCGAAACTGGTGTGTTGAAACCAGGTATGGTTGTCACCTTCGCCCCAGCTGGTTTGACCACTGAAGTTAAGTCCGTGGAGATGCACCACGAAGCCCTCACTGAAGCCGTCCCCGGTGACAATGTTGGTTTCAACGTCAAGAACGTCTCCGTCAAGGACTTGCGTCGTGGATACGTCGCTGGTGACTCAAAGGCCAACCCACCCAAGGGAGCCGCTGACTTCACTGCTCAGGTAAATATCACACCCTTGTACCACTTACATCCCCTTTTGATGCATATGTGTTTTTGGATTGATACATTATGATGAACAAACTTTTTTCATTCGCGGTTTCCAACCAGAGAGCTTGAGCTCGTTGACGGCTGAATGCGTCTGAGTGTATTTAACTTGAAATCATGTCCCCTTTCATTATTTAAAGATTTAGCATATAACTAAAACCATGCTTTCATTTGTTTTCTACAGGTTATTGTTCTTAACCACCCCGGTCAAATCAGCAACGGTTACACACCAGTGCTCGATTGCCACACGGCTCACATTGCCTGCAAATTCGCCGAAATCAAGGAGAAGTGCGACCGTCGTACTGGCAAGACCACCGAGGAGAACCCCAAGGCCATCAAGTCTGGTGATGCCGCCATTGTCAACCTCGTCCCAACCAAGCCAATGTGCGTCGAATCCTTCCAGGAGTTCCCACCTCTTGGTCGTTTTGCCGTACGTGACATGCGTCAAACCGTCGCTGTCGGTGTCATCAAGTCCGTCAACTTCAAGGACGTTACCGGCAAGGTCACCAAGGCTGCCGAGAAGGCCGCCAAAAAGAAGTAGTCTCTCACCATCCATAATCATGGACCCTTTAAAAAGGGCCAAAACGGCTGCATCAGTGATGGACTCCGCCACTACTGCTCCCGATGCATTTACGATCTTGTTACATCGTGCTCAAGTAGCATCTGCACAGCAGATGTACTTGCTGCCTATATCACCAATTGTTGCTGACCTTAACTATCATCTCCCGAGGCGGCTCCGACGACACTTTTTTCATCGAAAGGAATTTCGCAGGAAAGAATTGAGTGTCGTTAGTTTTGGCTAGCGCGTGTGATAACACAACGGGAGCGACGTTAAACTCAACACCAAGTAGCGGCGGTGTTCAGACCCTTCAATGTACACTGATTGTGCGCCTAATTATGTATACATCATTTACTGTGCTACTCAACACTCTTATTTGTGTACTTTTGTTCCACAAATTAATTTAGCATGGAAGACTACTACTTATTAGCTCAGCCTAATTATATTTTCTAATTATTATATGAAAATAATAAAAAACATTTTATCTGCGATACACGATAAACAATGGCATTTTTTTTTATTATTTATCTCTCATTCTCTCATATTGTTGCATGTTATCAAATAACAATACATTGAAGATGAACTAAATAATAATGATTAACGTAATTAACTTTCAACTAAACGCACAAATTTTAATCAACATAATGATTGAACGAATATTCGTTTCTAATTAAGACTGATTCTTTTTAAAAATAACTGAAAAATCAAAACAATTAAGAGTCCTGCTCAAGCTGCTAGCTTTAAATTGATTGAATAATCTTTTTCTTATTTATATGCAATAGTTAGTTACACTAAGTACTCCATTAAAATTATATCTTCCAGTTGCAAAATCTGTGCTTCGGAAACCAACACCTTCCACATGTTTCATTATTGAATATGTTTACTGACAATTTGATAGTTCTCTGTACATATATTCTATAAATGGGTAATAAAGATTGAGCACAAAATAAAATAATTGTTTTTTCAATAAAATTCCTACCATTGTGTACTAATTACAAAAAGTATAATTGTCCTACGTAAAGGTCTAAATGTCAAGTATTATATTCTACTATTACAGTTTGAAACTTTAAATTTTAAACTCCAAAATGAAATTATTACTTTAAAGTATGATATGGTTAAATTGGCCTAGACTATTATTAAAACATTTATAAGAGAATAATTTCTACATTGATATTCTGAAATGTCAAAGAATTCAATTTTCAATCATAATCAATATTGTTTTGAGAATTCCAAAATGAAATTATTAATTTAAAATATGTTATAGTATAATTGCCACAGACTATCATCAAAATATTTACAAAAGAATCATTTCTTCATTGATATTCTGAAATGTCAAAATATTCAATTTTCAATCTTGGTCAACATTCCTTTGAGATGAATTTCATACGTGAAAGTCAAAAAAATTGTTGAAGTATTTAATTTGAAACATTCGTTAAACCCTTTGTCAAAATAACCAATATTAAAAATCATGAAAAATTTATTGAATTCATCTCGTTTCAACATTAGTTTTTGGAGTCTTGATGAGCTCCAGTGCAGAGATATTCCTAAGAGTCGTCTGCTGTTATTGTACACAGTGTTGCTCTGTCGGATTCGCAACTCCTTGTAATCAATCATGGCATTATCCGGTGCAATGTCAATGCTCACCAAATTAATCCCGACTTATCCAACGATAACGACTTGTGGAGTGAGTAAACACAATTTAATGAAATTTTTTGTTGACAACATTTCAGTTTGTTTCGATTTAATAATATTGAAGAGTGTAGGTTAGAATCTCTTGCATATCTCATAGTTTTGAGACTTTCCAGTGTAAAAATCATTTGTTGCAATACTTAAAAAAAATAAACATTAGCATTCGCTAGGTTCGATAATTGATGTTTATTGTTAAAGCGTCAAGTACACGCATAATGTTTTTTATTCATATTTTGTTAGCAGGGGCAACAAGTCAGAAGTATGTATACTAAATGGAAGACTATGCGTGATATGAAAAGAAGAAAACTGGCAAAAGAGTATGCTCCTGAGAGGCTTCGTCTCCTTGGCATTAAGAGGAATGATGTTCTTCCTAGGGAAATCAGAGTACGATAAACTTTATCATTTACGTCAACATTTCTTTTACAATCTGAACATTATTTAAAGTTTTCTTAAATTGTAATTGACAGGACTTGGCCAGTAAAACTTTCGAAGAGCAGATTCCACGACACTCTGCCATAAGACAACTTACACCTCGATGTGTCGTTACTTCTAGACCTCATGGAGTACTCCATCGTTGGAGAGTTTCTAGATTTATATTCCGTCATTTAGTTGATTACAATAAAATGGGTGGTGTACAAAGAGCAATTTGGTAGATTTTAAATCATATGTTTTAGATGTTAATGTTAATCAATGGATTGTTGTAAAAAAAAATCATTAAAACTAAATAGTGTTTATGAATTGAGAAACGTGCTGAGAATTTTATTTCAATACTCTTCAAGTGATAGTATGCACAGAACACATTCATTATTCAAATTAATTAATCTGATAATAGCTCACTCATTTGCTCACAATACAAAAACAGAAAGGACTAAGATTTTCTTTGATTTTTGTTAATTGACTTTTATGCTACTCCATATAAAAGCTTTCATCATTTTTCATTTAATGATGTGGTTGGTGGAAATTGATTCCTGAATTATTTTGTCAACGATTCCGCCTTGTGCATAGACATGTCTAATATTTTAACCACATCATCGCGATTGCACTCAAATACTTATATTGATTAGTAACTTTTCTCCTATCATGATGTCCTGGTGAGTTTTCACTTTACCTGGACGTTTTCGTTTAATTTAACGACTTTTGAATAAATGTTTCTCATCAAGATATTATCAAACCTTTACTCCATATCCTTATGCAAGTGAGTATTATTTTTTTCTTATCATCACGAAGATTTTTCAGAATTTTCAATAATTATTCGTGTTGGTGATTCTTACAGACTTGCATATTTTTCTGAATTGACTCGACAGAATCTGTGAACTTGAAAAAAATTCAATTATTCTAACAGTATAAATATTTATAAATTAAATAAAAAAAAAATAAACAAACTTGACTATTTTTCAATTTGATCTAACGCGCGAACCAGCTTAATATTTTATTTGTAATTATCATAGAATTTTGCATATGAACTTAGATATTAAAGTCTGTAAATACATAACAATCAATCGGCTTGTTTTTGGCGATTTATCTGCTACACTTATAAGTGTTAAAATTATTGAGTCTATTTTAAGTGGGCTGAAAATCATAATGTAACTTTCAAAAGGAATATAAGCTAGTTGTCAACCACTGCATATCCGAGCCTTCGCCACTAGGGGGCGAGTACCTTCATTTCTTTAAATCTGCAAGTGGCAAAGTACAAACAAAATGGTATAAATAGGTGATCGGACCTACGGTAGTCTTCGCGATCGAAGTTTCCAAACTCCTTTTGTGGATGAAATATCCGAAAAAAATAATCAACAACCAACCACTTATTTCAATAGCTCGTGAACATTTGCACTTTTACAACCCCGCGACACGCGATTTATCCTCAGTAAATAATTCATCGATACAGCCGTATAACTACCTGTTATTGCTGTACACGCATACGTTCGCGCGCGAGCGGGACAAGACACAGATTTTTATATTGCCCGTACGTAATTATTTCGCGCGCGAATCCGCTCGTCCGCGTGCACCCCCGTTGACCTCGGTCGACGAATTTCATCGAAAAGTACGCTGCAGTCACGTCGAAAAATCGAGAGAGAGAAAGACAAGAGTGTAATGGGCCGAGTGGCGAGAGTCAAATGGAAAACCGATTGGATCAAGAGCAGCGAGGAGCAGCCGCGAAAGAGCCGATCGAGAAAGCAACTGTCCGTTTACGTAAGCCCATATAATTTTTAGATAAAAATCATTATGCACTCGGAAGCCGTCGAGCCGTCGGTGGAAGGAATCGAGAGTAAAAAAAAAAAGAAACATAGACATACACTAGTAGTTATCATCGTGTCGCGCAATGCACATAATACACTCGCACCACCACCCCCTTGTGTTTTTTTCTGCGCGCATGACTCGCGGTAAGAGAGAAAGATAGAGCGAGAGAGATCAGCTCGGGCCGATAATGTGTATACCACACATAGACTCCGTTATATACACTCGACGCGACGCGATATTACGCGCCATAGTGAACCAGCGATCGTTTCGAGTGGTGTATCGCGTAAATTTCTTTGTACCACCCTTTTTTTCCTAAAAGCGACGAAAAAGAAAGGGAGAAGAAAAAATAATTTCGATCGCGAGGCACGATATACAGTCACACAATGAGGAGACGTTCGCTTTCGAAACCGCTCGTCGTTATCAATCATTACAGTTAAGAGAGACGTCGAATCGATTATCCTTCGTGCTAGTGTATCAAAGATATAGATGCAGCAGGCCGAGCTCGAGGAAGATCCTTACGAGCTGAAGCGCATCATAGTTTTGGACAATGACAAGGTACGCATTATCCTAAAAATGTCTTTCTCCCTCTTTCTCTTATCGCGATTAATCGTGCCTTTGCGCTCGTATTTGTAATAATGCGTATAGCGTGCGAATTACGCACTCGAGAAAAGTAACAACACTACGGCGCACGATTTAATTTAATCAAATATATTTGCGCAATTTTTTTTCTTTGCCTAGTAGCGCGAGTTTTCAGAACGACCACACTGCCGTCGAACACGCGACTGGTCAGAGAGTAACTATAAACCTTTTTCGCGGACAGGGAAGAGAAAAAAACAATTTCGAGGACGACCGATAATCGTTGACACGCGGAGTAACGTATCATATGTGTAAAATTACGAAAAACACGAGTAGAGTAAACAAAGCGCAACGATCATCGGACTGCGTTACACCGAAAATCGTGTTACAACGTATGTAAGCGTATCGATTCTCATTATACATTAACTTGTTTATACCCGCGCGTTTTCGTGTTAAGCCGCTTGCACATCAACGAGTGTTTCGTAAAATTCACGATCACCCGGAAGTGAAAAATCTCCTTTTCCGCTGCTTCGTATATACGTCTGCTATGGGGGTGGGTCATCATCTCGTGGGACTCTATAGAAAAAACATGAGTTTCATTAGCGATCGCACGCATTTTTACCCGTTGCACGCGCACGAGACGATGATCTTTTACTACTCGAATCGTCGATTCCAGAATACGATGGCCAACGGCGACGCCGCCGACGGGACCGATCACAATCATCACCATAATCATCATCATCACGTGACGAGCAATGGCTTGATCGGCAAGAGCGACGTGGCTAACGGCCGAATTTTCTCGAAAGCCGTCGTAACCACCAACAACAACAATAATAGCAACAACAGTAAGAAGCGTCAACAGGTCGGCAGCGACGAGCCGACCTTATTTGCCAAAGTCCATCATCGTCACGATCGCGCCGAAGCTGCTCGGGGCGCGCTGGACGCTCGGAAATTGTCGACCAACAGCGACGTAAGAGAAAAATAAAAAACACGATCCCCAATATGATAACCCGATAATATAAATATAAAATAAAAATATGCTCAGGATCCGGAATGCTTTCACCGTGCCATCGGTCCGATCCTGCTGCTGGCCCAGTTCTTCGGTATACTGCCAATCAATTTCATACGTGCCGAATCCATCACGAAGCTGAGCTTCCGTAAGCTGGGGCCACGAGTAGTCTACTCCTACTGCGTCCTGTGCTGCATCGTCTTCATGACCTCCGTCTCGTTTCTCCATCTCTTCGTCACCCTCAACGCGTCGAGCTTCCAGACCCGAGGTATAATATAAATTTCACGCGCCTGACCTTCCGCGTAGGGTAATCCTCGCGAGCTCCGATATCCAATTTACCTTGATTATTCGCGAGCGAAGACGAGAACGAATTATGATAATGACGCTCCGCACTCGATACAAACTACATTATTATACTACTCGTGCCGCGGCAACTTTAAACGAGATTAAACTGTTTTTTTCTTCTTTTTTACTCCACCCTCCACCCGCCACCCGACACCAACAGGAGGAATAGCAGATGCCACCGCGGGAGCAGTTTTCTACGGCAACAGTTTGCTGGGCAATTTCATGTTTCTACGGCTCTGCCCGAGATGGATCGCCGTGCAGTACGACTGGCGCGCCATGGAACGACTGCTCGATAAGTAATATCATAAAGTGAAAGATGAAAAAAAAAAAAACCTACAGAGAGATACGAATAAATAAATAGTTTTCTCCTATCACTTTCCGGATCGGAAAATAATCAATCGCTTCGCTTTTTTTTCTTCATCGTTATATATATGCAGAGTCAAGACGAAGCGTCCGAGGCTGCGCTGGAGGTTCGCCACGATCGCTGCGGCGATCCTCGGCCTGGCCCTGGTCGAGCATCTCCTCAGCATGGTGAACAACACGCCGGCCTCGGTAGTGGGCGGCAATCACTCCTTCGAGGAGTTTCTCGCGGTTTATACCCAGAAGTCGCACGGCTTCATCATCAAACACGGTAATGATCCATTACAGGCGTATTTGAAAATTATTGTAATGACTCGACCGTGTTATTTCAGTCGACTACAACTTCACCCTGGGATTATTTATCTTCTTCATCAGTAAAATATCCACCTTTACCTGGAACTTTACCGACGTATTCATCATGATGGTTCGTAATGTAACGAAAAAAAAAACCGAAGCCAAATCGATCAAAATAAACTTTTACCCCGTTTTAGGTGTCGACGGGCATCGCCGAGCGCTACAAGGTGCTGAACGCGCGCCTCGTCGGCCTGACCACGAGCCAGCTCACCGTCTCGGACTGGCACGATCTGCGCGAGTGCTACGCCTCGCTCAGCGTCCTCGTGAAGAAGATCGACGACGAGATATCCGGCATCATACTGCTCTCGTTCGGCAACAACATCTACTTCATCTGCCTGCAGCTGCTCAACGGATTGTCGTGAGTTGGACCCGAATAAAGAATGAATATACGATGAGAAAAAAAATTCATCGATTCGATGACAATTTAATTAAGTACAATCTAGGTAACAATCTTTTTTTATTTCATCCAACAAAATATTTAATTGTTTTTACCAAAGTTTGTTGGATGAAATAAAAAAAAAGATTGTTACCTAGATTGTATTTAATTAAATTTTCATTGAATCAATGAATTTTTTTTCTCGGTGTACTAGACGAGTCATCGTTTATACTCGCGGAGGTGGAGAAATATCTAAAATGCTTTTTTTTGTTTATTGCAATTAATCGCTCGATAAAAGTAAACAAACTTTGGAGAATTTTCGGGTCCAAAAATTAATCTGCAGCTCGATGGAGCTATGATACAATAAAGCCATAATTCACGTGAAATGGCTTTTCTCGTTAATTTATTAATATGAGTTTCAAGTACACCGCGATAAACGCCTCTCGGAATACCAGAATTAAAAAGAGTATACAATTGACCTTGACCGTGTAACCACACCTATATAACGTAAACTACGATTGCTCAATGATTTCCGAGAATTCGCGTCATTTGCAGACGCGATAAAAAATAACGCACAGAGTAAATAAATAATCGTAATTTTTTTTCTTCGTTTTTAATCGGGTGCAGACCGAGCGGCGACGACGCATCCCTCGTGAACTCCATCTACTTCTTCGGCTCGTTTATCTTTCTCATCGGCCGCACGATAAGCGTGACGCTGCTCACGGCGCGCATAAGCGACCAGTGCAAAGTCATCCTGCCCGTACTCTACAACTGTCCATCGGCCAATTTCTGCATGGAGGTATATCAATGTTTATTCTATTTCTATGCATAAAGTATAAAACATGGATATGGACGCTTTATTAAATTTTCATTTTCATTTTTCTCTCTTTCTCTATACACCAGGCACAGAGGCTACAACAACAGATAGCCAGCGACGACGTCGCGCTAACTGGCCTTCGATTCTTCTCCATAACTCGCAACTTCATGCTCGCTGTGAGTCGTAAATTTGACAAAAGTATCGAGCAAAAGGATATCGTTTTTAATGAATTGTTTGTATAAAAAAAAAAAAAAAAAAAAAAAAAAAAAAAAAAAAAAAAAAAAAAAAAAAAAAAAAAAAAAAAAAAAAAAAAAAAAAAAAAAAAAAAAAAAAAAAAAAAAAAAAAAAAAAAAAAAAAAAAAAAAAAAAAAAAAAAAAAAAAAAAAAAAAAAAAAAAAAAAAAAAAAAAAAAAAAAAAAAAAAAAAAAAAAAAAAAAAAAAAAAAAAAAAAAAAAAAAAAAAAAAAAAAAAAAAAAAAAAAAAAAAAAAAAAAAAAAAAAAAAAAAAAAAAAAAAAAAAAAAAAAAAAAAAAAAAAAAAAAAAAAAATAGGTCGCCGGTGCCATCGTTACCTACGAAGTCGTCTTGCTGCAGTTCAATATCGCCCTGCAGCGCGAGGAGGACTTTCTCGAGGAGCAGCTGCTGTACGCCAATCTGGACGACGACGACGATTGAAAGAAAAAATATATATATAGACGACATTGTATATATTATAGGACGTTTCATAGCTTCTATATCCTTCAATTTTTATTTCCTCTCTTTGTATGTTACGATAAATATACATTTTATTTAAATCATTTATACAGAATATTTTTACAATCTAATACAATCATGATATGTACATATTGATCTTTATCGTTAATGTAGTTTAACAATAATAATAATCGTATATATTATATAATTCATCGATGCCCAATGGGTAATTCTATCATTAGTATTTTATTTGTCTTAAAATTCATCGATAACAACGTCGGTGAGTTCGTGTGTCTGAAACAGATTATCGTATGTTAAAAATAACTTTTGCTACTATCCCTGCATCGATGTGCAACATGTATGATTATAATAATTAATGTGAATTAATGCCAATCCAACAGTGCGCTTTATTTTTTCTCATCGCACTCCTTATCTGTGATTCGTAATTACAGTGTGTGTGTGAAAAATTCGGTACTCGACCGCGTTTGTGATTTAAAAGTACAAAACCAATGCACACACACACATAGAGCCAATGTCAAATAAAGTATAACGAATGTTGTATGTATATAAATTTATTCGAAAATAAAAAAGAAATGTATGAAACAAGGCGTCGATGTACATCCAAGAGATACTCGTGTACTTTTTTGTATCACCACCACACGTTGGCTGGCACCCATTAGCTCGAAGCTGCGCTCTGTATGTTTTTTTTTTTTTTTTTTTTTTTAATGGTATTCACAAGTCTAGATGATGCTGCTTATGCGTGTGTTATGTCGTTGATGACAAACAGAGAGAGAGAGAAAACCAACGGGAAAAAACATGAATATAATAAATATCGATTAATATACGTAATTGTATAATACATTGGACATTGATATGTATATTTGTAATTGCTAATTAACTAACTATATACGACAACGGTACAAAAAAAAAAATATATGTCGTTCGTTTTGTTCTGTCACTTCACCTCGCAAACTTTCGTGATGTTCGAGTCGCTCTGCAGATGGTCGGCCTGGACCGCGTTGAACTGCACCAGCACGAGCTCGTACGTCACTATCGTACCGGCCACCTGACGAAATAAAAAAAAACAAAAAATAATCAAGCGAACGCGACGGTATTAGGCGAATTATATACATTTTATCGAAGGAGTGTATTTGATTAATCATTGGCGTGCGTAATAATTAATTAATTAATTGGATTGTAATCGAATCGGAGAGAGATCGTCGCCGAGTACTTACGAACGTACTTACGGTCAGAATGAGACTGCGGGTGATGGAGAAAAATTTCATGCCGGTCAGGCTGATGCTGTCCGTGGTGACTTGGTGGAGAAAACGTCGCACCTGATGGATAGAGATATTTGCATCGAAATAATTTTCTTTCTTTTATAATAAATACGAAGAAAAAAAAAAGTCTACTTCTGTGGAGTAATTGGAGCTGCAGACGCCGTAGAGCACCGGGGCGGGCAGTCGGGACTCGTCGTAGATCGCCGCGGCGTACAGCGAGACCGCAGCCGTCCTCAGCAGCAGGAAGCCGAACGAGAAGCAGAAGTAAATCGTCTGTATGGCGTTGGGCATTGGTCTGCTTGGGGGAACGAAAAAATAGCCCCCAAAAATTATAAAGATCTATCCAATATATATTGTATTGTGTAAAAGCGCTCACTTGAAGGAATTGAGCAGCTGTATGCAGATGAAGTAGAGATTGGTGGAGAAGGAGAGCAGCACGATGTCGGATATCTGGGAGTCGACGCGGCGCGTCATCGAGGCGAGCCGATTGAAGTCGATCCGGGCCTCGGCCCACCACCACTCGGGCATCGTTTTCACCGCCACGCCGTGCTGCAGACGACAACGGATCGAATTGTATTTAAAAATTGTTCGCGTTGATGTCGATTTGTTCATTACCTTGCCCCTGATGGAGTGCAGTCTGCGATTCAGCTGCTTGAACTGGTCGGTGAGTGCGACGCTCAGCAGTATGAGAAACAGATCCATGAAGTTCCAGGAGAAGGTGCTCAGCACGTTGATGAACTGCACCAGGGCGCCCTTCCACAGGGCGAAATTCGACTCGGTGAAGATCTTGACAAAGAAAGAACAATAGGTAACGAAGTTTATGTGATGAAAAATTATGCTTGGTACACCCACTTGAGGAAACTGCAGGGAGAAGTAGGTCGCCGCGGTGTTGGCGTGGCCACGAAGGGAGGCGCACTCGAGGGCGCTCACGTAGCCGGACAGCAGCGACAGCGAGTGCTCGACTGGTACGCACGAAAAATATTTTCATTTTCAAGTATTTACATAATTATCAAAGTAAACGAACCCAGAGCCAGCGACATAACGACGGTACTGAGAACCTTGAACTTGGCCGACAAGCTCAAAGCATCCAAACCGCTCGGATTATCGTCGCCTCGATTTTCACCCTCCTCCGCTGTATTCGTCGTCGTCGTAGTCGTCGTTCTGGTGTATCTGGTGGCCAACTCGCGCTCCATGCTCTGCCAGGTGGCGGCGAAGGCCGGCCACTGCCTGGCCAGCTTGAGAAACAGGATGGTGGTGATGCCGGCGGTGAAGAAGAATACGAGATTGCTGGTCTTGCTCGACGTGATGGAGGTGGTGGCCAGCCGGTAGATGCTGAAGAGGGTGAGAACGAGCGAGCCGAGGCTCGACAGGCAGCAGTAGACGATCTTCGGCGAGCGCCATGTGAATCTGCGATTCGAGAATAAAAAAAAAAAATAATATTCGGACGAAAACAACTACATCGTAAATAATAATAATAATAATAATAATAATAATAATAATATTATATTTGCCAATTACTCCTTCTCAGTACAAAAATCATACAGAAAAGGACCTACAGAGAGCGAGGACGCCCGTACATAGGATTGGTCCAAACAATAAATAGAAATAATGAAGTATAATAAAAAAAATTATAAAAATAATAAAAAAATAATAAAAAAAATAATAAAAAAAATATAATGAATCATTTTTCTTTTTGGCTCACTCGAGGGTCGAGGCGTCGGACGAGTTGACGCCGCTGATGGGAAACACGGCGAAGACCTGGGCCAAGATGATGATGGGTCGCAGGGCGCAGTGCAGGCTGCGCTGGCCGTCGTCGACCGGATCGTCGAGGCCGCCTCCTCCGGAATTCGACGGCGCGCTCGGCTGCGTCGACCCTACTCGTACGTGTCAAAGAAAAAGCTAGCTCTATTTTCCGTTTTTTATTTTTTTTCTTTCGCGCGGGCTTACCCTCCATCGGCATCGTGTCCAGCTTGTGCATCTCTCGCCTGTTGCTCTGCTGCTCCACCACCTCCTGAATCTCGGCCGATCTGAAATGCAATTCGCTCATCGATGCTGCTGCTTATTATTATTTTCACGTCATAATCTTCTAAATACGTAACGAACGCAACAAAAAAAAATCACGTCATATCGACGCACGGCGAAAAAGCCATCGTAGCCGATAATCGGACGAACTTCGAATGCGGCATGATACGCGTATATACGATCGAACGCCGTTGCAACGAAAAAAAAGGTAAGAAATTTTTCCGTGGATCGATTCGACCACTCGTCCGAGTGTGTGTGTGTGTTTCCGCTTAAATAAACTCGTTATTTTTCATTTGTCAATGGGGCGGAATCTAGGCTCTGTCATCGCAGTCATAATACGTAGAAAGAAAGAAAGAGGGTAAACATCTCTCGCCTATATAGATATCCTTGAGAAGGACGTGCATAATTTTTTTTTTCTACCCCTTTTTTCTTCGTGTCTTCCTCGGGTAATACCGCATTATTACGTATTATACTTGGAACGATATGCATCTCGGGTATACGTTGCATAATTATTCGCGCGTATCGTAATAATAATAATAATAATTAAGCTCGAGAAAACAAACGAGTTTATTCGTGTGTTCGTATGTGTGTGATAAGCAGTACGCGGCGTTATCGTCGTATTATGTACCCAGCTATTTCGTTGTAGGCGTCCACCAGCAACAAAGACAAACGACAACAACGATCCTCCCCCGCTTTAACGCGGTAATTATAATTGTGTGCATAATAATATTAAGCTACAGTGGTGTATATATGCACATACCCGCCCGGGGCACGACGCTGATGATGCTGATGCTGATGCTGGTTGAATACGTTCCGCCGACTGATGATGGCCCAGGCCGGCTGATAAAAGTAATCCTTGCCATCGGCTGGGCTATCCTCCGCGTTATTGTCGCAGATGCTGCCATTGTTGTTGTTGTTGTTGTTTATATTGTTGTTGTTCAAATTGTTGTTGTTCATTACAGTCGTTAGGGAGTTGGCCAGCGGATCTATCCTGTGCGGCCTCATGACGATACGAGGGAGATATACACTCTCTATGACGTTTCACCTCTCATTACGGAAGTGCGCGTAAATACGAAACTATCGAGTCGGTGCTGTCGCATGTACTTACCCCCGTTATATATATACTGCGCCTCGAGGTAAAATCTCTCGATACGATGAATTAATATGAATAAATAATGTCGAACGCTCGTTAAGCTCCGGGGTAGCAGCTTATTCAATTTTTTTTTATTTTTTTTACTATTATCATTATCATCATTATTATTTTATTTTTATTCGTAACGCGATATATCCTTTTTACGTGTATATATATGAGCTAATAAATCGCAATGCCACCGTATACGCCGCGTATGTATATATGATATAATAAAGAAATCAAGCTGTTCTATACGACGGATGTGTACTGCGCACATGGCAATCCATCAATCGTGATGTTTATCATATTATGTACTCTCGACGCGTATATGCACGTGACACGATGTGCCGCAGTCGCGGTTTAAAAGAGAGAGACGAGATTCGAGCCCGTGTGCATAATAATGAACTCGCGCGCATTTTTCACGTCGCTGCGCGAGGCGATCGCAGTTGCCGTACTACGCACGATCAACCCATGGATGCTGTCGTGCTGTTATGCAGGATATTATATGCTCGAAAAACGATGTACACTTCGACAAAAAATTGAATAAATTAACGAATTCAATTTACAACCAAGTTTTATAAGAGATAGATACACGTGAACCACGAAAAAGCCACAAGTTGTTGTCGTTGATGTATCGTTGTGTTATACCTCGTACATTAACGCGTCTATATGAATGGTGCGCAGCTTTTGAAAGCTGCGGCGCACTAGAGGTAATTTCCGCGGTTGATTTATGATTTTTCTTACATCTATACACGTTATATTGACTTATTACCCACCCACCCGGCGGCGGCACACGTGGTTTGCGCAATTATATACTGTCTCTCTCTCTTCCTGTGTCACCCCTTATACCCTTTTACCCGAGATATACAATAACAATCACGTCGCGACGCGCAAAAAAAAGGGAAAATAATATCATACGTTCGAGCACATATTTGTCCATGGCTCGGCCGTTTATATACATTCTCTTTCTGTATATAATTTCGAACCTCGGGTGTATTATCTGCATTGTCGTTTTGAAATATCTAAATTACACAGCGCGCGATTGCTCGTGTGCTCGCGCGAATAATTTATGCGGGACGAGCGCGTATGCAGCAAAAATACCAGCGAATCTGACTGTTTTTCCACCCTCGAGTTTTTTTTTTTTTTTTTTACCTAACATTGTACAATGACATTGAAAATGAAAATAATAAAAAGTTTCCGCGATTGCGAGAGATTGCGCCGAATCGAGAGAGAGCAAATATTTCGATATTACGTTTTAAAGGGTACGACGTATTATAGGTAACTATATACGCATATATAGATGAGTAACGAGCGTAAAGTTCTGGAAGAGCAGATAGATGTGTACTGTGTAGACGTATTATTCTGGACCTTTGGCTTGCACTGTGCGTGACAGGAGGACGACGCGCACACAGTCGTCAGACGCATATATATACACAATATGCAAAGACTTAATCGAGTGGCGGCGTGACGCGACTCATCGTATAATATATCGGTTTTCGATGCAGCAAAAGAGCAGCGCCAGCACATTATAGGTATATGTTACAAGGTGGTAGGATAGATATCTCAGGCAGAGGCAGACAGATGAGCAACGCGACGGTCAAGTGATACACACACACATACACGATGATGTATATCACACGTATGTAGGGACATGATATGAGCGGTATAACGTCGCATCTGCAGCATCTCTGTTGAGAATTTGTATACGGATTTTCCAGTACATATTGCACATAGTCGTTACAACGTTATAGCTAATTCATAGCTCGAAATCTCGGGATTTTGATTTTTTGAATAGTTTCGTTCAAATTTTCTTACTTTGTCGTTATCTTATTCGATATGTTTGAAAAAAGTAGCAAAGAAATCATGTATTGATACGAATTTGAAAAACGTCTCGTAGGGTAAACTCGATGCGTTCCTCTGCATTTATGTATACCTATATATTCTTTGAAATTCTGCTCGCTTTGGATCGCGACATGCGATATGTTTACATTTAGTACTTCTCGGCCGTGCGTCTTGAGATTTACAAAGAATGTGGCGGTTATGAGAAGGACGCGCAGTTGGCAGTTCTGCACGGCATGTCAAGTCGTTCGGTACAGTCGAACGTTACAACGCCGAAGCCGCAAACAAAGGAATATCGCGCCGACTGCCGAGCGAAGCCAGTGGACTCTTGCAAAAAATATTCATTTTTCGTGTGATTGTGTTTGTGTAAGAGTGAGATCGTGTGGCTATAGCCAGCATCATGAACTGCATCGAGAAATTGAAAATTTTACGCGATAAGGTTAATTGGACGAGAGAAAACGAGCGACGTGGATTGCTCAAGCAACTTTGTGCCTTGGTCAGACAATGGGAGGGCCAACTTCCTGATCTCCGAGACATTTTTCGTCCAGAAGAGATCGATTAGCTTCTTATCAAGTCCAAATTGAGCGAGCTAGCTTCGCTCGTCGAGTTTGTGGTCAAGACCGGCTACAGAGACGAGCCCGACGAGGTCGTCGATAAAAACGTCGGCAAGGTCGAATTGCGTCGTCGCACCACCGCGGTGCATCGCGCGGTTACCTCTAGTCTCAATCTCAACGACGCCAACCGCCGATTGATCCGCGATCTGTTCCGAATATACGACAGATTCGACGTGAATTACATCAACGAATACGACGTGACGCATTTCGAGGTGGCCTGCGTTTTTAGCTGCGACTATGTTATTGAGAAATTCCTCGAGCTCGGCCAGGATCCCAATGGCCTCGCGCGACAATCGGACAAACCGTCGCCGTTGCACTATGCTCTGGCACGCCACTTCCAGAAGACGACCGAATTACTGCTGAGAAGCGGCGCCGACCCGAATTGGGCCCCCAGCTGCGGAACAACTCCACTGCATTGGTGCTTATTATTTAGTAATTGGAGGGAAGAATCGGAGATTTTCTCGTTCTTGAAAATATTTTTCGACATCAACGACGAACTTCATCAGCAGGTCAAGCTCGATACCCCAGAAAAGAAACTGGGCCAGACACCGCTGCACCTTGCACTGCACTTCGGCCTCCAGAAGGTAGCAGAATTGCTATTGAGACGCGGGGCCAATCCGAATTTGGCCGATAACGATGGAACAACACCTCTGCACTTGCTTTGTCGGTGGTTCGACGATAAATTTTTGAAAATATTTTTCGAGATATGCGTCAATCAAGTGGTGCAGGTCAACGTCGAGGACAAATGGAATGTGCGACCGCTGGACCGAGCTCTGGTTGACCGTAACAAGAAGGTGATCGAGGTACTGCTGAGACGTGGTGCCGATCCGAACTGGGTCGACCAGGACGGAAAGACTCCTCTGCACTGGATTTGCGAAGGATACTTTGAAGAAGTGACGATGTCATTTTTGAAGATAATCTTCGAGATCGCCGACGACAAACATCAGCTGGTGCAGGTCGATGCCCAGGACAGGCGGGGTCGGACACCGCTGCAATCAGCTGTAGAAAAACTTCAACCGTTTGTAGTCGATATACTGTTGGATCATGGGGCAGATCCGTCTAGCTTCGTTTTTCCTTACGAAAGTTACATCGGCAAGCGTTTTAACGTGTTTGATCCGTTTATATTGGAAAAAATGACCAGCGTGCTGATGATCGTCGAACTTCTAGAGAAAAAAGGACACAATCTCAATCTACGTAACGCTCTGTTGATATTAAAAACACTCGTTGCGTGCAAATTTCTTGATAGGTCGATGAATCCTGAATTTTGGCCTATCACCACAGAATTCGCGAGCAAATCAAAAGAGATAATGATACGGTCCAATGATGAAAATGATAAGGAGGCAGCGAGAGAAGCAAAAGATTTATTGAACCGTCCGAGTCTGTCTCTTTACGATTTTCTTCGGTTGCGACCCAAAGAGGCGGAAAAACTAGTTACATATGTTGACTGTTTGAAATTGGCACGTTCTGAAAAATTCAAGAAGCTTCCTCCTGGTTATGAATTGAAGTCGTGTACTGAGGTTGTGGGCCAGATAATGTCGAGAAGATTTCGTCGGCGGTGGGCACTGGAAATTTTTATGGAGCTATCAAGCTATCAGTTGCCGATTCTCTGCTGTGAAAAAATAATCAATCTGCTGAATGACAAGGATTTTATGAGAATATGCCTGACAGCAGAAATTGTTCCTAAAGAAGATACCTAAAATATGTCATGCTGTTCACCAAGGTATTATCATTTTTTTAGGTTCAGTAATAGTTTGTTTACTATTTTTTTTTAATCTCAATGATTTTTATTTTCTAGGGACAGAACGTCGAAGAATTTAATATTTACAGCATTAAAAATAATTAAATATCTTTGTCAGCGTTCAAAATTATCATTATAAGTATATCAAGTGAGAATTGTATTTCATGGAATAAATATAATGAGTAAAAAAGTAAACTAGTGTATACAGCATTGAAGCAATAGATGGGATTTGAAATATTAATTTTGAAAAAAACCTTTCAATCATATTGGCAGATTTAGGTTGTAAATAACAGGTAAGCTGTATTTACTCAGTAAATAAAACAACAAATGACCATATGTTTGATAATTTATTGCACGTTATTGTTCCCCAATTGAAATTCAGTGAAGCAAAATTAATCAATCAACCTACGCGAATTACTTTTCAGTTATTTATTCATTATGAATACGTTAAATCATGACGTATTTTTTTTATTGACACTTTATATTTTATCAAAACTATCCAATCAAAGATAAATTATGCGATCATATTAAAATCGTATTTATGTACAAAGGTTTCAGTATAAATTCGAAATATCAATGCGCGATGACTAACACGATAAAAACTCAAACTGGGAAATTTGACGTTCATGACGTGACTACTTTTATTACCAACGCGAGTGACATATTCAGCTTTACTACTCGTAATATGTTTCAAAAACGTGGCGTCATGTCGAACTGTTTCGCTTAGGCTGCTTCTATAAAGGACTCAAAGTAGTTCGATGTTATTTTGCGTCGACTCCGATTAATACGATCTCGTCACGTACTGACGTACCTACTCTCAAAAATGGGAAAATTAAACGTATATATATAAGCTAATGAAAGCAATAGTCGATTCAGAGTTGGTATATATAATCGAGACACGATGTGGTGAGTAATCATAGCTGCCTTACTCGCAGCTGATCCAACGAAGTCGCACACAATCGAAGTTTATGTCAAGTAGTATAGTAGACGCCGCAGCGTGAACAGAGAATCATCGCGTCGTCTGCAGCGAGCAATTCTCGTAGCTCAATATAAAAATTGTAATTTTGCCACTGGTTTTTGGCCCTTGTGTTATCAAATATTGCATCCAGTTTGTGCGAAAATATTTGTTCAATAATAGACTCATCTTCGGCTCGTGTTATAAACCTTCGTTTTGCGAAAAACCCATACAGCATACCAGTGCATTGAGTGCTATTGAATTGTATGTGATTGTTTAGTGTGTGTCTGTGTGAATGAATAATGGCTCAAGACGATCAAATTTGTTTGAAAGAATTAAAAACTTTGCGGGCACAGGTCGATTGGCAGATTAGAAAGGAGCGACACAAATTTTTTCTGCAACTTTATCCCTTAGTGAAAGATTGGAGTGGCCAACTTCCAAATCTCAAGGACATTTTTCGGCCGAAAGAAATCGATTGGCTTCTCACGGACTCTATGAATCATTGCGGTAAAGGCAAAGGCTATGACAGAGAAATATTCATCAAATTTGTTGCTCGCACCGGCTACAAAGACGAGCCCGAGCTCGGCGAGGGTAGCAAGTTATCGTTGCGTCATACCACAGCACTGCATTGTGCGGCTAGACTCGGTCCTGAAAAGTTCTCCAGCGAATCGGTGAACGAACTTTTCCAAATATACGACAGATTTGAAGTGAACTACACAGACAAACGAGGCATGACGCATTTTCATGCGGCCTGTAAATATGGATATCACGAAGTCGTTGAGAAATTTCTCGAGCTCGGCCAGGACCCCAATTGCCGCACGAAGAAATCGGGTGATACGCCGCTTATCTTGGCTCTGATCTGGGGCCACGGGAGGGTAGCCGAGTTGCTGCTACGAAATGGCGCTCATTTACATGTAGCCGATGAAGATAGATCGACTCCTCTTCACTTGATATGCCAGAAAAAATACGATTTCGACTTGGTGAAATTATTCTTCAAAATCTTCGATGAACAACATCAGCTGGTCAAGGTCAATGCCCGAGATAATCAGGGCTGCACACCTTTGCACTATGCTGTAAGGCGGGACTGCCGCTTCAAAAGGACGACTGAATTGCTACTGAGAAGAGGTGCCAATCCGATTGTGGCTGATAAGGATGGATCGACCCCTCTGCACTTGATTTGCGACTTAAGCTTCGATAGTGACGAGGCTTGCAGAGTTGATAACGATGGCCTGTTGGAGCTATTTTTCAAGATTTGCGACGAACAACATCAGCTGGTCGAGATCAATGCCCGGGACAAATCCGGCGAGACACCACTACATCGTGCTATGGAACGCCAACTCAAGAAGTCGATCGAAATTCTGTTGAGACGAGGAGCCAATCCAAAATTGACAGGTATAGGTTCGGGCGAAAGGACCCCTCTTCACCTCATTTGCGGAATAAACTCGAATAAAGAGTCGGCGATAATCTTGAAGTTGTTTTTCGACCTAAACGACGAAATTCATCAATCGGTAGAGGTTGACGCCCTAGACGATTATGGTAATACACCGCTGCACAATGCCTGCTCGTGTCATAACTTCGGGCTGGCTGAAGTGTTACTCAGAAGAGGTGCCAATCCGAACTTGGTGAACGAGAATGGGTCACTACCGCTGCATTTAATTTTTAATCAAAGCTACGATATCCATGTGCACTCATTTTTGAAGATATTCTTCGAGATCTGCGCCGAAAAAAATCAGAAGGTGCAGGTCGATGCCCGGGACAAGAGTGGCCGTACACCATTGCAGTTGGCTCTCGACCATGGCAAGAAGAAAGCAGCTGAAGTGCTACTGAAAAACGGCGCTGATCCTAATTTGGCCAATGAGGAAGGATCGACTCTTCTGCACTATATCTGTCAAAATAGACTCGAGGTTTCAGTGGTAAAATCCTTAAAGATATTCTTCGAGATAAATGACGATCAAAATCGCCAGGTTCTGGTCGACGCCCGGGACAAGTCCGGCAAGACACCGCTGCAATTAGCTGCAATGAATTTGTTGCCGAATGCGATCGATATACTTTTAGATCATGGTGCTGATCTGTCCAAATTTGTTTTTCCCACCGAGAGTGACTTCGATCAGTCTTTTCGAGAGTACATTTGGAGCGGGTATCCGGTATATTTTAAAGATCTATGTGATGCTATGGTCATCGTCGAGCGACTGAAAAAAAGAGGATATGAACTGAATCGACATGACGCTCTAATAATCATGAATTTATTCGCTAAGTATGGATATTTTGATAGGTCAGAATCACTCGAATTTTGGCTCAATAACGAAGAGTTCGTGGAAAATGCAAAACATGTAATATTACGCGAAGCTGATGATTATCAGGACGATGAGGAGTTGTCGAGAAAGGCAAGCGACACATTTAAATGTTCGAGTTTGTCGCTTTACGATTTAATTCTAATGCCACTTGAAGAGACGGAAAAACGGTTTACATATGAAGACTACTCAGATTTTGCGGGCCACTATTATTGGTGTCATATGGATAAAAAACATCGTCATGCTTGCTTTGTGCATCTGGGTGAAATAATGTTGAGAGGATTTTTCCGGAGCTGGGCACTGGAGCCATTCTTGGAACTGACTCACAACCGACTGCCAATTATTTGCTGTGAGCTGATCATCAAGAATTTGATGAATGAGGATTTATATAATATTTGTTTGGCTGCAGAAATTGCTTCATCAGAAGAAAAGCAAAATTTGTGATAGTATGACGACTGAATTATATATTTTTTTACTTAACATATTTTTTTAACGCTCTGTCACGGTTGTTATTTCATAAACAAAGACTACAATGGATATACTTCATACTTTTTTATTGATACTGTTAAAATTTATTTGTTATGTTTTATATTTTATAAAAGAAACTTTTTATAAGAAAGAAATTTTTTATATCAAATCAAAATTAGATGCGTTACCATAAACTATATACTTAATAAATACTAAAAAAAACTCAAGAACTTTATCAACTTCCTTCTGTGAGACAAAAAATTGTTAAAATCACCTAATTTTCAGGATGCTAGATGAAAACCTCCCATTAACTGGATTTAGGTAGCTGTTCGTTCCTTGGCAATTCATTGGCAAAGTGCTTCCACATAAAAAAATTTTCATATTTCATTTATAAATGCTAGTAAAACAATTGTTCATCAAATGGAATTTCTTGTTCACTATGTAATTTTTAACATAATCTATGAATCGTAATGTTTTCTATCTAAAATTCAAGTTTGCCTACTGATTATTTAAAATCACATCTAAAGTTGAAAAACAATTAACAAAAAAAATCCAACCCTATGAAAAAACTAAAATTTCCGAAAAATAAAGACAAAAACCTTTTTTTTCACAATGTAATTTTTAAAATAATCGACGAACCCTACCATTTTTTAATCTGAAATTAAAGCTTGGCAGCTCATCTGTTAAGATTAATGCTGAAAAATGTTTCAAAGACACCTCTACCCTTAAAAATATTAAGAAAAAAAATATGAAAAATCTTAATAACTTCTGCAATATTAAAGAGATCAATATGAAACATTTTCGAGCTTTGTCCTTGCAAAAATCGACATTAAATGCAGTAAGATTACCGCCCCGTTTTTGAAAAAATTCATTCTACGTACATAATTACATCCACACACTCAAACACACGCACATTTACTTACACAGAAATTGACAATGGTAGATTTTAGACCTATTAAAGAGCTTCCTCGATGAGGAAGCAAAATTTATTTTGACTACACCAATTATACTTTTGTAAACTATATACCTAGATCACTCCTCATGTTCTTTTTAAATGATAAAGAATTCAAAATATTAATAAAAAAAACTTGACCTTAAAAACACGATTTTTACTGCTAAATTTGCCAATTTTATGATGAATTGATTATATAAAAAATTTTAAACACCATCATAGCAATGAGCACTCCCAAAAACCTGTAGTCAAGTCTAGACTTGACTAGCTCGACCCAGCTGAATTGTACTAACGGAGTAACGGATCAATACGAATTACATAATTTGCGGTAGTAATATTTAAAGTTTAGTAGGTAAGCTTGTTGATCTTGAAAATTGTTCACCATTACAAAGAGCTGACTCAAAAACATTAGATGTAGTAGTTTTCATAATTGCGCTCGTTTTGATTGAGACGTGGTAATAGCGAAAAATTGTCTGTCAAAATTGTCACTAGGCTTTAACGGGCAATTATATCTTTTAAAAAACGTTGAAATCAGCTACGTCGATGTGCAGAAATTTTTTCTTTGCTGCGCGATTCAATTCGTTTTGAAAATGTGGTGATATATCGAGTTAGGTTTATTTTTGACTATTCGTGCAGAAATTTTATTGGTTGCGACTGCGCTGGATTTTTTGTGCACTGACTCCGACCGAAGTTGTGTAGAAGTAGCTTTAGTATACACGAAACACATTTCGTGCCGTCCTGCAGCGTAAGCAGTGAGACATCGCGTCGTCTGCGGCAAGTGACTCACGTAAAAAGAGTAAATATGTCATAGCAGTCTGATGTAAAAATTGTAATTTTGCCACTAGTTTTTGGCCCTTGTGTTATCAAATATTGCATCCAGTTTGTGTGAAAATATTTCTTCAATAATAGACTCATCTTCGGCTCGTGTTATAAACCTTCGTTTTGCGAAAAACCCATACAGCATACCAGTGCATTGAGTGATATTGAGTTGTATGCATTTGTGTGTTGTGTGTATGTGAATGAACAATGGCTCAAGACGATCAAATTTGTTTGAAAGAATTAAAAACTTTGCGGGCACAGGTCGATTGGCAGATTAGAAAGGAGCGACACAATTTTTTTCTGCAACTTTATCCCTTGGTGAAGGATTGGAGTGGCCAACTTCCAAATCTTAAGGCCATTTTTCGGCCGAAAGAAATCGATTGGCTTCTCACGGACTCTATGAATCGTTGCGGCAAAGGAAAAGGCTATGATAGAGAAATATTCGTCAAATTTGTTGCTCGTACCGGCTACGAAGACGAGCCCGAGGTCGGTAAGGGCTCAAAACTATCGTTGCGTCATACCACAGCACTGCATTGTGCGGCTAGACTCGGTCCTGAAAAATTCTCCAGTGAATCGGTGAACAAACTTTTCCAAATATACAACAGATTTGAAGTGAACTACACAGACAAACGAGGCACGACGCATTTTCATGCGGCCTGTAAATATGGATGTCACGAAGTCGTTGAGAAATTTCTCGAGCTCGGCCAGGACTCCAATTGCCGCACGAAGAAATCGGGTGATACGCCGCTTATCTTGGCTCTGACCTGGGGCCACGGGAGGGTAGTCGAGTTGCTGCTGCGAAATGGCGCTCATTTGCATGTGTCCGATGGATTTGGACATACTCCACTCCACTTGATATGTCAGAAAAAATACGATTTCGACTTGGTGAAATTATTCTTTAAAATCTCCGATGAACAACATCAGCTGGTCGAGGTCAACGCCCGAAACCAGTGTGGTCGTACTCCACTGCACTATGCTGCGCGGAGCCACTTCAATAAGGTGATCGAGTTGCTGCTGAAAAGGGGCGCGGATATTAATTTAGTAGATAAGTATGGATCGACTCCTCTGCACATGATTTGCGCTGGAAGAGGCGTGTTCGACGATACTGCCGATATTGATGGTGGTTTGGTGGAGTTATTTTTCAAAATCAACGACGAAAAACATCAGCCGGTCGAGGTCAATGCTCGGGACTGTCAGGGCCGCACACCTTTGCACTATGCTGTAAGGCGGGGTTGCCGCTTCAAAAGGGCGACTGAATTGCTACTGAGAAGAGGTGCCAATCCGATTGTGGCTGATAAGGATGGATCGACCCCTCTGCACTTGATTTCCAATTTAAGTTGCAAATGTAATGAAGAGAATTATAATGATTGTCTGCTGGAGCTATTTTTCAAGATTTGCGACGAACAACATCAGCTGGTGGAGATCAACGCCCGGGACAAATTCGGTGCGACACCGCTGCACTATGCTGTGGACCACTTACAAAAGAAGACGACGGAACTTCTGCTGAGACGAGGCGCCAATCCAAATTTGGCAATTCAATCTACGCAGTCTACAGTATATTGGATCGGATTGACACCATTGCATATGATTTGCGAACGCGACAGTTCGGCGATATTTTTGAAGTTTTTTTTCGACGTAAACGACGAAATTCATCAATCGTTAGAGGTCGACGCTGTAGACAAGTACGGTAATGCACCGTTGCACTCCTCCCTCGAATCGCGTAATTTTAGGGTGGCTGAAGTGTTACTCAAAGGAGGTGCCAATCCGAACTTGGTGAACGAGAATGGGTCTCTACCGCTGCATTTAATTTGCGGGATACGCTATAACGATGACGAAGTGGATGCATTCTTGAAGGTATTTTTCGAGATCTGCGCCGAAAAAAATCACCGGGTGCAGGTCGATGCCCTGGACAATAGCGGCCGTACACCATTGCAGTTGGCTCTCGACCTTGGCAACAAAAAAGCAGCTGAAGTGCTACTGAAAAACGGCGCTGATCCTAATTTGGCCAATGAGGAAGGATCGACTCTTCTGCACTATATTTTTAAAAATAGACACGAGGATTCAGTGGTGAAATTCTTAAAAATATTCTTCGAGATAAATGACGATCAAAATCGCCAGGTTCTGATCGACGCTCGAAACAAGTCCGGAAAGACACCGCTGCAATTAGCCGTAATGAGTTTTTTGCCAAATGCGATCGATATACTTTTAGATCATGGTGCTGATCTGTCCAAGTTTGTTTTTCCCTCCCAAACTGATTTCGATCAGTCCTTTCAAAATCGAACTAGTGTATGTTCGGTTAATTTAAAAGCTCTGTGTAATGCTATGGTCGTCGTCGAGCGACTTGAAAAAAGAGGATACAAACTAAATCGACAAGACGCCCTAATAATCATGAATTTATTCTCAAAGTATGGATTCTTTGATCGGTCAGAATCACTCAAATTTTGGCTCAACGACGAAGAATTCGTGGAAGATGTGAAAAAAAAAATATTACGCAATAAAAATGATTTTAAGAAGGATAAGGAGGTAACGTCAAAAGCCAAAGACTCATTGAGACATTCGAGTTTATCGCTCTACGATTTAATTCTAGTGCCACTTGAAGAGGGGAAAAAACTGTTCACGTATGAAGACTACTCAGATTTTGCGGGAAACAACTGTTGTTGGTTTTATATTGATGGAAAACAGTGCCAGGCTTGTTTAGTGCATCTGAGTGACATAATGTCGAGAGGATTTTTCCGGAGCTGGGCACTGGAGTCACTCTTGGATCTGACTCACAACCGATTGCCAATTCTTTGCTGTGAGCTGATCATTAAGAATTTGATGAATGAGGATTTATATAATATTTGTTTGGCAGCAGAAATTGCTGTAAAAGAAGAGAGCCAAAGTACTTGATACCGTTCGCAAAAGTAATTTTATTTTTACTGAATAATATATATTTTTTTATTTCAACTTTCTGTGATGGTTGTTTAATTTCTAAGCAAAAGTTACGAAGTTATAACATATTTTTCAGTGTTCACTATTTTCATTATGTATAAAATAGTAGTTGTACTGAATGGTAATAAAAAGAATAAGATATACATTGTAAACATTGCAAAAAAACAAACATGTGTTATTATTCTTAAAATTTTAACCTAGTTCATTTATGTAATGGAGAAAGTTTTTAAACAAGATTCAAATATCATATGGATTTAAAAGAACACGAAGAATT